CACCTAACGTAGTCAACTCGTCTGGCATTCATAGACACGTCGCGCGCTCCTAGAAAGGAGTTTCATTATAATATATATAGACGCCTAAGAGTATACATGTAAATATAAACCCAAAAGAAATCCCCTTAAGGCAAATTTATTTACTTTTTTTTTTTAAACCATCAACCCCTAACGTTAGTTAAACGAAATCTTATGCAAATTTACCGCAATGAAGAAGATTAGAGACACGCGAGAGAGGTGTATCGAAAGAATAATTATAATATTCTTTTCGAGAATTTTTAATCCGTAATACGCGATGCTTTTAAATTCATTTTTTTACTCAGTCTCAACTTAATTTTATGTAGAAAAGAAAATATTTAAAACTACAATAAAATTTCATCTATATACTAAGTTAATGTTAATTTTCGAAAATAATTTTTTCTAATAAAAAAAAAGACATTTTCATGGAAATGATTATGGAAAATGAAAATTTTTCGATAAAAATGTATATTTAAATTGCTTCTGATTGTAGTGCGGGAAATTTTTCTATTTAAGTGTTAAATATATACACGTCAAATATTTTCAAAAGATTCTATGCGAGAAAGCGCTAAAGGATTATAGTAAATTAATATATGTGGGCGATTTCTTACGAATAAGTTATTTAAACTGGTAGTTAATTCTTAAAAAATAATTTTTTACTAGTTTTGATGAATATGCAATGAAGATGAAATAAATTTAATATCATTAAGTTTTTCATTAAAAAAAGAATTTTTTTCCAAGGAGAAAGATATAAATTTATTACTCCCGTTTATATGCTTTTTTTTCTTAAAAATAAAAAAAATCCCTTTTTTTATAAAATAAAAAATTTCATTTTTCTATAAAATATAATATTAAAAATATTAAATTATATAGTAAATGTCATAAGTATTCTGTATAAAAGAATAAATATTTAAAATATTGTATAAAATGAGATAATTAAAAAAAAGTGCCGTACAAAGAGAAATTAAACTAATTCTTCCTTGGAATAAAACACTGACAAAAATTTTAGTCCCCGCTCATTCTGAATGACGAAAATTTTCCAAGCATAACAGTCAATTTATTTTCCAAACGTTAATAATAATTTTTTTCCAGTCATGAAACTTGACACAGATGGAAACATATTATTAAAAATTTGAATTAATTACGAATTTTTAATTCTTAGAATGTAATTAATATAAAAAGTACAAAAACAAGAATATTGATCTAGGTGTTCGTATTTTTGAGTTTACTTTTACGTTACAATGTACACATTCTCAATAATCTAGAATTATCGTTTAGATTTATTTTCAACATTCAATAATAATTAAAAATTGATATTTTATTAATATTTATATTAATATTAATAATAGTATTTATATTAAATATTAATATTAATATTTATAGTTATATTAATATTGTATATTTTACTTTTTAATATTTCATTCTTCTTCACTTTGAATAATAAATTTTAATATTAAATAAATTTCATCTTCATTGGTTTCATTATTTTCGAAAAGTAAAATTTCACTATACTTTTGATTAAAAAAAAATTAGCGAAAAGTAATTAGCTGTATAGATTTTTAAAAGAAACGGCAATTTTGACACTTTCACGAGTCTAATAAAACATTGTTCTCGAAAATTTTGAGAGCACTACATTCATCTCTCGAGTGGAGACTTCAACGCGCGGGATCCGACGGATTATATACCAACAGCCACTTTCGAGGCAGCATCCACTTGAACCAAAAATCTCTCTCACCACAATAATTATATGTATATTTGAAGAAAAGCGAACCCAACAAAAAAAATCCAAAATTCATAACTTTTCAACTTACTAAAAAATTTACCAAGAAAGTAAAGAAAGAAAGAAATATTTTACTCAAAGTACAACCAAAATCTTTTTCTTCTTCGAAAATAATGATGAAAAATTAGTTTTGGAGCAGAAGAAAATTTCCATATTGACACTTTGGATAAAACACTTTCGATATAAACTATATTTTCAGATTTTGCTTAAAGCTTTATTTAGCAAAAAATTTCGCTCTAAAGATTTATCAACACATGTCGAAATGACGTCACGCTGATTTATCTGGCAATATTTCCGAAACTTTATTATCGAGAATACATCTCACAAAAACACATGAAGTGTTGTATGCTGGTAAACGAAAAAAAAACGAGAGATATCTAAATCGTCACCATATCGCGTTAAATATCAAGAAGTTTGCCTGGGTTCCGTTATCATCAGCGAAATCAAATTCTCACGTGCCGCACGCGTTTCCACAACTTCCCTTTCAAAACACATCAAACGCTATATAAAAATTGACGAGCAATCAACAATAATACATCACAAGATGTATACAACTGTTGTTTGCACTACAACATTTCACACCCGAACTATTTTAATCCACGGATTAAAATTTGCACAACTTTCCCAATCGAACAATTAAAATTCCAACTTTCAAATTGTAAAATTTTTCAATTAGAAAAAAGTTTGATTAAAGAACTTTGATCTAATGAAGAATTTGATCTAATAAAGAAATTATTGAAGAACTTTGCTCAAAAAAGCAAATATGAAAGAAACGAAAACTAATGAAGAACTTTAGTGAATGAAGATGTATAATGATGCAACACAAAGAGAAGTATAATTTACTCTTTTTTCGAGTATAATGTGTGTGTGTGTGTGAGTGTGATAAATCAGAAAGACTCGTCATCGATAAAATATATATTGGACATGTATGGAAAAGTTATTTGGAGGGCAAACAAGCCGATCTGACATAATGCCAACGGTAACTCAAGATAAGGTTTTAAAGAAATGTCAACCGGCGAGATAACATTGAAATAAGAAGTAACCTGAAACGTTTTCTAAAAGCTCTCGGACCCATCAGAGAATCATCTGATAAAAAAATATCCTTCGAAGGTAAAATGGTTTAGGTGTTTAGCCAAAGTAAACGTTTTTAAGAATTCCTGATATGACATTCGTTAATGAATTTTTTAAAATTAAGCCACATTTTTGAGATTTGTTTGTTTGCAACAGCTTGTTTCTTTGTTGCAGTATATCAAAAGCGAGGTGTTTAATCTTTCGAAATCTTTCATAAACTTCATAATCATGTACAATCCTCAAATGACACCACAATGTTAAATAATAAATTCACTCTTTTTGATGCCAATTGCCGTGTCTATTATATTCTAAGAGCACTTAAATTGTTCTTTCCGAAATGGAAAAAATAATCTTGAAAAGAAGATTGTAAATTTAAGGGACGTATTAGAAAATCACTTCTTTCAATTATTTCTCTTTTGCAGCAACTTCTATTTTTGTGTATCTACCACTTTGAGTTTTAATAGGAAAATCGCATCGACTTTGCCATGCCCTTAAAAGAATGTAAAAAATATTTAAGGAACAACAAAATTGAAGATAGTAACAAACGAAATTCGACCATCCTTCTATTGTTTCGTAATCGTTTTTTCACTTTTCTTTTTCGAAAAACAAATTCACTATTTGAAAACTTTTCTCAATCGTAACAACCAACTTTTATTCAATTTTTTCCTTTTTGACAAAACAGATTTAATTCCTCAGGAACAAAAATCAGGATGATGCGCATTCGGATTTTCGTTTCTTAGCATCTTTAAATCTGCTTCTTTTTGGGTTTTCGAATTTTTCTCAACACATTTGCCACAAGTGTAATGCTTTTTTACTAGAATCCTCCCCAATAGAATACACAGATTCCTTTTTTGGGAAAAACTTAGAAATTAATTAAAGTTGTTCTATACGGATTTTTCTAAAAAAAAACGTACCGAACTATTCTTGAAAAATCCTAAAAAGATAGAGGGATAAAGATGCGGACAACAAAGGTAGAAGTTGGAAAGACAAAAGTAAGAGAGGACAAAAATACAAAGAAGTTAAAGAACGAAAATACAATGATGTTAAATGAGAAAAATACAAAGAAATTAGAAAAATAAAAAAATATAGTCAAGAGATAAAGGCTAAGGAAGACATACAACTTCCATTCTATAGACCGGAAAGTGCAATTTGCAAAATTGAAGGACCAGTTTACACATTATGAAAATTTCATCCAATGACATTAAGAATACAAAAAGGGTTTACAAGTTCAGAGGAATGGACTATAAGAGAAAGTCTAATAGAAGTTAAAGACATTTGACTTATGTTTTGTGGATAGCTGATGAGAATCGATCATAAGTGTATAGACACACGAAGGCCATTTGCGACAGATTATCACTACAGAGAAAAAAAACCGAGACAAACAGCAAAGTCCAGAAAAAAACCTACTTCGACAATGTTTCAGGACATTAAGATTCGAACCAAATGTTCCAAATCCTTTTTTTAATTCTCCTTTCCAGGATGATGCGAAATTAAGAATACAAAATCCCGATGCTAAATGCAAATTGCGAAATGCAGATTGCAAAATGCAAAAATACGAAACAACAAAAATAGAAAACACACAAAAACAACTAATTGAGAGAATTCTGAATTAGAAGTAGCAATCCAAGGAATAGAAGAATCCAACAATCGTGTACATGATTGTACCCTGAGCAATGGTATCCAAAGATAAGGAATTAACTTTTCAAAGTCAAGCACCAATCACTATTTTTATCACTATTACGGAAGAGTTGTGATAAAACACATTGCAACACATCTGATATCTGTATTCAATGTAGCAACTTTTCGATAATTGCCAAAAAATACCACCAATGATGAGGAGCAAAAATTCCAAAGAGTCTTCCGTAGAAGAAAATAACAACCGAAGGTATAAAAATCCCCAGGATCCAAAATTCTCTTTTTCAAGAAAGAGGTGTTCTAATTTTTCGATATTTCATGTTTTCGGTGTTTAATTTTTTCCGGTGCTTCAATTTTATTTTCGAAACGAATATTTTTATTAGACACGATTCATGTTAATTATTTCCTTGCGAATGGTTTTTTATTCACTGCCTAATTCTTTTTTTTGTTTCCTAATTTACACTCCACTCGCACTAATTCACCAAGTGACACATACCTGGGTTCATATCCCGGAGCGTCCACTTTTCCTGGTTGCAGGAATGCACTGTATTTGAACACTGTTATTGAGAAGCACGTCTACTCTTGGGTTCGGATACCCAGGATTTTCGCACTGACCTCGACCTTAGTTAAAAGGTAGTAAGGAAGCAAGCACACAGCATGACCCCTGTACTTTTTTTTGTTATCTCTTCTTGGCACTGTGATATAAAACCGCTAAAGAAAAAACGGTGTTCTTGTATAATATTTATTTCCTGGCACTTGATTTATTTTTTTTCGGGTATCACGAAAATTAACATCCAATACAGCGTCAAGAGCAAAAATTAAAAACAAAAAAGGAAAAACTCCAGATGGTTGGCCCTTTGTGGAAGTCACACCGCGAATTCTTGACCAGTGGATTCTTTTATTATCACAAAAGTCACACACTACTCACTAATGAAAATTCGGGTCACTTGTTTTTTTGTTTAAATACCTGGCACTTTTTTTTAATTCGCGGATTTTTTTTAGCTTCGGAAAAAGCGAGCGAGTTTTGACCGCAAATTGGGTTTTTTTTAAGGGTTGGCACCGATCTGGTGCACGGGCCACGAATACGTCGGGGTACGGATAATATTTTAATGAAGAAAGGCCGGACAGCGAAGTGCCCACGTCGGGTCGCGCTGCCGAACTGTTCGCTCCCCGCCCCTCCGCGAACGGGCTTCCACCCCTCCTGGTGCTCCCCCACTACGGACGAGCACAACCGGTAGAGCGGCGCAGTCACAGTGGTGGGGGTCAATATGGGCGGGACATTACAACCTTCTGGGGGCGTGGCCTAATGAAGTGTACGTCTCGCGCTGCTGTAAAGCTTTCGCAGGAGAGGTAGGAGCTCCTCCCCCCACCATCGCTTCGAAAGCTCGAAGCCACACTCTCTCTCTCTCTCTTTTTTTTCTCTCTCCTCTCCTTTAGTCTATACAGGTAGGGGGTACAACTTGAGACGCAGCGCCGGTAGGAACTTTCCGGATATCTTTCCGGTAATCTTTCCTCTCTCGCCCGCATCAGCTATACCCGCCGGACGTATCGTCGACCTACCCGTCCAACTCCGATCGAAGATCCAGGATTTCCGGCAAGCGCTAGACATCCCCAAGAAGATAGAAAACCGCGCGACTGACTGGAGGTCAGGGCAACGATCTAAATTTTCCCTCCTCCCACACTCTGGACATTTTTTTATTCAACAAGAGTTTGGAAGAAAGACGTCAAAAGTGTATCTGCTTTTTAAAAACTAAAATGTCAGATATCTCTTTTTAGGAGATACGCTCCACGAAATGTTTCGTTTCGTTTCCTTTTTTGTGTGTCGATATTACTAACCGTCGCATCGCATATCGGAAGTGTCCAGTCGATTTCCTTGAATTGTTGGGGAAAAAAAAATGTTTTTGCAATATTTTTTGTATAAAGTTAGGAATTTCCTTAATATGCGAAGAGAGGAAAAGTACCTTTTGGCGAACCTTTTGGTAAGCAGTGGTCGTTTTATATGTATGGACAAATTGCAGCTTTCTGGATGAGCGTAGGAGAGGAGAGTCTTTAGTGAAAGATCTGCGAGAGAAGGAATTCACAACGTTTCGAGAGGTAAATGCCGCCATTTACATTCCACGAATGTCTACAAGGGAAGCACCCTTCTCTCTCTTCTCCAACTTGAATTCTAACGTACGCGTGCGCCCTTGTATGCGCGCATTTATACTTTGGACTTTATACACTTCTCTCTCTTCTTCCTCTCCCCTTTTCTCCATTACCCTCCGCCAACTTGAAGCTCACCCCCTCCTCCTCCTTCACCACCCCCTTGTGCCCTTTTCTCTCACTCGGGGAGAACCTCGACCAATCGCGATCTGCCTCGAGTCCTTTTTTAATAAGCTTCGCTTCCCTACACCCTCTTTTCAGCGTTGCGCTCCTAAAAGATCCAGTAAGATTGGAAACCAACTTATTCGTGGAATACCAAAGTCTGCCTCGCTGTTTGATTATGTGACCCTTGAGAGCCTAAAAATACATCCCTCTTGTTAACATCGACCAAAGTCCAGCCCTAAACCTTGTCTCTCTTTCTCTCTCTCTCTCTCTGTGCCTCTCATTTTTTTCTTCTTCTCCCGAAACAATTCCTCTTTCTCTCCTCTCAGGAATAAATTTAGTGACTTTAAATAAAGCCTGCGGGATTATTTAAATGAAAATTCGAAAATTTTTAAATACATTAGAAAATACTTCTTTTATTCTTATAGAAAATTTAACTTGTGTCCCTTGAAATGTATTTCTTTCTTTAGAAAAATTTCTTCTTTTATTCTTTGAAATGATTACTATCGTATATATTTAAACATATACTTAAAATATGGAATAATTATTATTGAATGTGTACAGAGAAGAAAACATCAACCATGGTGGTTAATTACCATAAGAAAAGAAAATAATGGAAAATTCCTTAATTTTAATTGTAAATAAAAAGATTTTTAATTATGCAATATGAATAAAACATTTATGTGTAGGAAATTTTCTATAGTTTTGCCATTTAGTTGAAATGGGATTTTAGCACAGGGATTTTAGACAATTTTCCCTATTTTCTCAATTTTTTTTTTATTTTTATGGCCGTAGGCTCTTCTTAGAGGCCCATTTCAAATACCCAACTGGATCCAAATGATACCAAAAATTCAGATCATAAATTATGATTTGATTTCAATTTTTGGTATATCAATTCGTTGCAATTTGATTCTTTTGAATTAACAATAATTTAATTTTTTCTAAAGATATCAAATTGAGACAAATAACGAATTAAAATTGTTGCGTAGCAACATTTTGATTCGTTTATTTGTCTCAATTTGATATCTTTAGAAAAACTATGTAGACTTTGAGACAAATATGTACTTTTATTTAATTCAAATAAATTCACGCGCAGTAAACTAAAAGATATTAAATAAATTATAAATTATTATATATATATTAGATTATATTATTATATATATAAATTATTTTAATCCTTAATAGGCTTTTAACTAATTTTTAAAGAAAAAATTTTTAAAGAAAACCTAAGAATTTTCTCCAAAAAATTTTTATAGAATTAAGAGCTTTTGCTAGAATTCAAATGATTTATACATTTCTTCAAACTTTAACGACAGAAATTTTTAATATTTTAAAATTTATTCTTTCTATAATTTCTTTTAAAAACATTATATATTAATCAATATCTTTTACGTCCGAGAAATAGTAATTATAGTGAAGGAGAATAAAACGAAAACATTCGGACAAAATTTTGTCCGAATGTTTTCGTTTTATTCTCCTTCACTATATAATTTTAAAAACATAAATTTTAAATTGTTTAAAAATCTGTATCCTATCACAGAAAAATTGTGGGGTATTATTTTAGCACCAAGATGGATTAAAATAATTTATCGAAGGATTGTTTTTTTGAAATTTTTTAAAAATGATTTTGTTTTGATTTAAATTTAAATTAAATACTGGAAATTTAAAAAACAAATATAAAATTAGTATTGCTTTCTATATAATCTGCCAAGCAGTCAAAATAAAAGCTATAGTCTAATCTCTTAATTTCGTAATTTAAAAAAGAAATACAAATTAAATTTTCAATTCGTTTTGGTGGAAAAGCTTTAATTTTGAATATTAAAAACGATTAAAAGTTTCATTTAAATAAATGCATTGACATAAAATTATAATTTTTATGCAAAAATAACTTTAAATTCTTAAAATGTAGAAAATTAAATTCCTTACGCTTCTAAAAAAAGGAATTTAAAATTTAATTTTACCTTTTCTTTTGAAATAAGAAATAATAATATTGGACTAACTTTTGTTCCGATTTTTTGTCAGATTCCTCCTTAAAGGGTGCTGATTTGTTTAACAATTATGTAGTATTTTATTAATTTTTAGTAAAAGCTATACTAATTTTTAGTTAGAATTACAAAATTTATACACGAAGAAAAATATAAAGTATCTTTTTACTACTTTTATAGTAAAACATTTCTGGTATAGCATTTTTGGTATAACTTTCACTATACACATTCAGAGTAAATTTTACTATACATTCAAAGTACATATTTGTAAAAATTAGTAAAATGTACTTTGAATGTAGCAAAATTTACCGGACCGGAAAAAATTTACTTTACCGGAAATTTTTTACTACAAAATAAGTTGTAAATGTTACTTTATATTTTTCTCCATGTAGTAAAATATCTTTTTAATTGGCAACCAAATCCGTATGTTTTTTAGTTAGTTAAAAACAAGATGTAATTTATATTTAGAGTGCAAATAAAACCAAGAAAAGAAAAAAAAAAAAAAAAAAAAAAAATTTTACTAATTAGGAGAAAGTTCACAAATGGTATGTAACGTTTTTGGAATTGGGCCAGGGGTAAAATTGCCTAACAAGGGGGGGAGAGTAAAAATCTTAAAAAAAAGTACCTCTGACATTATTCGTGAACACACCCTAAATTAACTTTTTTTCTAAAAATTAAACACCAAATAATTTAGAATGCAAAATACATGGAAAAAAAATCTGCCTCTAATTCACTTCGATAGAGCAAGGTTAGTTCCTGATTGAAAAAAAAGGGATGGACCAGTGACCGGTCCAGAATTCAAAGGGCGGAAAGAGGGGTTGTTGACTATACTTATATATATACACACAGAGAAGTGAATGGCCAGCACGAATCTCAGTGGACGAGATTTTTCGTCTCTCGAGAAAGGAACTCGGTCCAGTGAATTCGGACAGTTTCGGTACACTTATGTCAAGAAGAAGCAGAAGGAGAGAGAGAGAGAAAGAAAAAGAGGGGGTTTTCGAATAACACCCGAATGGCTTTCGACCAGGTGTGTGTGTGTCTCTCTCTCCGTTTCGTTTCGAAAGGGAAACTTGTAAAGTACCTTTAAAAACGCTTCGGATCTTTTTCTCTCGGGTCCAAGAATAAGGAGGCCGCTCTCATTGTCTCTCTGGTGGGAGGATATTCTCGACAGTTTTTGGGAGAGAAAAAAAAATAAAAGAAGAAGAAGAAGAAGGAAGAAAAACCTTTGTCGGCAATGATTATGTTAGGAACTTTATTAGCGATTGACGGTTTTTCAATGTGCGCGCGGTTATTTCCAAAAATTTCAGCCGTTTCACAATATTGTTGAAAGTATATCGTCTTTTTTAAAAAAAGATCACTATACTCTCTTTCTCTTTCTTTCTGCTGCTTCTTTCTCTCTCCATCTTTTTCTCTTTATCCCTTCTTCTTTTTTTCTCTAATACATATAAACGGGAAAAATAGAAAACGTTTAATTGGAATTCATGGAAAAAGAATAAATATGTTCCGGGGAGGATTTCTTTTTTTAATTCTAATGTATATTGTGTGTCACAATTTAGGGAAAATTTTTAATGATCCATAACTTTCTAGGAAGGGTATTTTCTTTTACCCGTTGTCTTTCTTCCTTAAGCTTTATTTTTTTCTTTTGAATTAATTTTACTGAAATTTTCATAGGGAGAAGTAATTTGAAAATTTGAAAGGATTTAAAAGAATTGAACTGGAAATTTTCGAGAAGAATTTTTGGAAATTAAAAAATTAGACGCGAGCTCTTTTCTTATTCACTGTCATGTTCGGAGATTTTTGCATTAATTAAATTTCTCTGTAAATTTAAATTAGTAAAAATTTCACTCTGGATAAATCATTACTTTCAATTTTCACTAATGA